CTGGTTTTCAATAATCTCTAACTGGTGTTACTTCCTGATGCGAACACTAACAACTGAACTTAATCCAAATCTCAAAGAAGAGCCATCACTTGAATGTCAGTCTCCAGCTCACTGATGACTATGGGATGGATGTCCTGAAGCTCTGTTGAGCAGTCGTCACCTGTGGTATCCAACATATCATGAATACATTTGTTGAGAGTAGAGGTTTATCACGAATTGATAAAGTTAGAATTCACGAGTCACTGGATTCCTGCCTAATTGACTGAATGGTTAGCAAGCTGGACCTTGTAATCTGAAGGTCCTATGTTGGTACGTGACTATGAATTTCAAATGCCTTGACTGTGTGCTCCAAGACCTCATAGGTCATCAGACACAGACAGGCTCTAGAAACTTAGCAAAACAGTCATTTGTCTGAAAACCAGTGAATCAGAATTACCAACTGCTGCTAACTCGAGGTACAATACTAATTTCATTCGCTGTCGCTGGTGAATAATATAAGGATAAAACTTGGGCACTGTGGTAGACGATAACTTCATTATGGATGAAATTTTATCTTGATAAGTCACACAGTGTTACACAGTAAAATTAACTGATGACGCTTCGAGCACAAATTATTACTGCTCATAATCATATTAAGTTACTCACACAACTTTTTTCCTTCATTTATATACATGAGTGGAATTGATTAGATATTTGAATAAAAATCAATATGAGATCATGTACATTCAGAAATAATAATAATATGAGTGTCATTGACCAATTACAATCAGATGGGAAATAAGACTAGTGTTTTTATAGTCATTATAAGTAACTTGTAAGAATGTTGTGATGTGCTTGAAATGAAATAGAATTTTGAGATTATTTATTATCCTCCCCTGATTTGATCGGCAGTAATAATATCTTCCATATTTCTGGTATTTGCATTGAGTCATTTCTGTCGCATGTGTTGGGTGTAGACTCACTGAACCAGGAATCAGTAATACCTACATAGATTACTTCTTAGAATCTTAACCCTCTCCCATCATGCTATTGTGTGGTTGTGTGTTAATGTATGTAGTGCAATTGCTGAGCTTTTTTCTAAGTTACTTATCTTTGCGAGTGAGGTCAACCATTCTTATGTTCCGCCAACCTGTTTGCCCCAGACGTACTAGTCTGACCTATATAGTTGTCTTAACTCACAGTCATCGCAGGGTATTTTGTAAATTATATTATTTGGTTTAATTGGGTCCACGGGGTCTTTATCTGACCGGACTTAATGTATCTTTTTCCTCAAAACTTTCTTATCTTCGAGAAATCCATTGTAAAATTGGTCAATAATCAAATATACGTTGATTCTAATCAAATCACCCTTAAAGCAAGCAAATAAGTTTGAAGGATTGGAGAAGTTTTTAGAGCATCTGAATGAAAATACGTTTAATATCGTGTGTTCCATTGCTGACTTAGATAGTTACTACTGACTTTATTTATATTCTCTAAAATGACTGCTGGTAATTTTGGAAACTAGGTTCATTGGAAAATTTTAAAACGTTTCCCACGAATATGTCAGAATTACCAGTCTAGTCACAAATATAAAAGGGATTATTTTCAAATGCAGGAAAATAGCATTATAAGGTGGATAGTATTGTAACGGCAGAAGACAAGAGCCAGACAACAGATCGTTTATTAAGGAAATCAACGCATATTTATAAATTTTAATGTACATTATTATAGCTTATTCAAGCAAACAAACACAGTCTTCTGATTGCTGGTTGTTTATCACAGAAAGTTAACCTTGTATCTCTTTGTGGCTGTTTCTTGAATGTCAGATCATCTATATGTTAACTGTATCCGCCTACACAAAGTGTGCTGTGGTTGTTTGTTGAATCAGTCTTTGTTCATATTTTCTCACGACCAATATTTGGGACACACACATTGACGTAAAATACTGTCTACCACTGTTGGCTAGCAGCCACCGCTCACCACAGTATCAGTTAGTTCATGATCGCTTAACATAAAAGTTGACTGTATTCTGATGTCATGGTATCAAAATTAGAATTCCTACTAGCTGACTTTAACATAAGCCAACTGTATCTGAAACCTCAAGCAGATCAATATCCCCTTACATATTTAAATAATGATTGATCAGTGTTATACTTGCAGAGTTACTACTCAGAGATCCAAATCATTTTCTTCTGTCATCCAAGAATTATTGCTGATAGCCTTTAACTATCCAAAACTATTAATCGGTAAATAAGCTCATATGTATTCAGTGGAACTAATACAGATTACTATTACTAAAAGAAATTTAAGGAATTTCATTGATACATTAATACTTAATGGTAAGACTATTTGAGATGGTTCCTTGTGTTTGGCAAATAGTTATTTGATGTAATGTTTGATAATTGAAATAAAAACCTGAGTGGTGGCACGATTTGAACCATAGGCCTCTGACTTACTAGTCGAGTGTTCCATCAGCTGAGCCACGAAATTCAACTGCTAACCAGATATCATTTCACTAAAGGTAATGATCAGCTGTCATTTGAACTGACAACATATTAATGTCCGCCGGCTCTCATACTAGCTGCCCAGCTTAGTATTTCCCTATCGGCCCTAATCGAGTGTTGGTCTACAGGTATTTGACTGATTTCGATGTTGATTACTAACTGACGTCAGCTAGAGAACCATGTAGTACTGGACGGTTATTTCGTCCCAGTTTAGGACTACTCATCAGTACGCACCAATGACCCTATTAGAGGTCGAACCCCAGAATCTTGAAATTACAAGGCAAATTTGTATACCACTAAGCCACTGTACTGAGAAGTCGTAGCTAGTGAAGTCTATCATGTCAAGGTCAGGTGTATCCCAATATCTTGATTTGGCGAAAACTGGAATCGGTGAGTCGCTAAATTCCGTCCCTGTGGCTCAATGGTACACCAGTTTGTCATGCAGCCTGAAAGTCCTGGTTTTGAACCCTGAGTGATGGTTTACTAACAGAAGTCACTTCATGGTCAATCTTAAAATCGACCAGTTTCTTGTAAACCAACATACTAGTCACTGACTACAAGATGAAGTTTTCTGAAGTTCTAGTGGGAATTTGTCACTAGCCGGTTCCACCATGTTGAATATGAGGGCTGATGCTCACTAGCGACTGACCCTATTCAGGCAGTTAAACTGGGGTTCTAGTGGAAAACCGTGATCAGTAGGGTACAGCAGGTTAAAGATGAAGCAGTAACTCATCGAAGAACACATTGTGAAGTGGACATGCCATGTCGTGAATTGCCAAAAGTTAGAATTCAAGGACCATAGGACAGGGTCCCAGTGACTTAATGGTCTACGAGCTAGCTCACTAGTCTTGTAACCAGAAGGTCCTGGGTTCGAATTCCGGTGAATTAGTACTACTGAAGAGTCTCCAACTAGGACAAAACAGCTGTCCAGTACTCCCTGACAGGTTTTTCAATGGTTCTGTAACTGTGATATCAGCTCATGATGAAATCCTCAATACTATCCTACCTAACTTGAGAAGAGGTACTCATTTCGAAAAGAAATTTAAATTTGCCAAACAAGTTAACCAAGAAAGCAGTAAAACACTCTCACTCATCACTTTTTTTTACATTTCCAATCATCACAGTGATACATTGTACATTGGACATTGAACATTAAGCTATGGTACTTCTAAACGCCTTTATTGTTCTTGTGCAAATATTACACTACTCTATAATATCACTGTAATAATGAATCAGCTGAATATGAAATACCTTTCTTTCTGTAAATAAATATGTTTGCATGCTTACTAATAAGAATAATAATAATAATTTGCATAGAAAGTCTGAACAAGCCCTAAATTATTCTGATTATTATGCACAGTCCTAGCTGGTAGACAAGTTGTGTGTGTTTTGTATTTTTCAATGTGCTTGCCTATTTTAGATGAGTGAATTCACACACGCATACACACACACACGCACACACGCAAACCCACATTTGCAAAATAGGATGTTACAGGGACGAGATGCATAGACGAGATCAGTTGGGCGACCTATGTTCTCTATTTGTTGGTATGATTGACACTTTATATTAGAATTTTATAATATAAATGCCAGTGAAATAAATATTCTATCTAAAATATCAAATTTGATATTAACCAATGTCTGAAAGGTAAAGAGATAGAGAGAATGAAATCTCTCTCACCGATAGTTTAATGATAGACCAATGAAAATTTAATTATGCGTCGGTGTGACCTGTTGAGATTGGCTCCTGAAACAAACAGGCGCTTATTAGTTTGTTGTACATTTCCAAACGCAATACATATATAGCTAGGGTAAGAGAAATTTCTGATCACACCTCTATCTATATCAGAGAAATAAAGAACATACAGAACAACGCGTTTCTTACCCCCTTTCTTTTTGTATTTTTTTTTGTTTTATTGTGAATAATAATCCAATGATTGACGGATAGGGTATTTGATAAGTCGCTTATAGCTCAGAGAGATAAACAGCAAAATAGCGAACGGAAATGTACGGGGATAATAGTAACGACAATAACAATAATAAATGATAATAATAATAATGATAAGAGTAAATAACCAGTAATTTTATGTCTAGGGGTCTTGAAAAGTGTGAAGGTTAACAACAAGGAACAACAATAACACATCGAAATGATCTATTTTTGGACATAATATTATAGAGACTGACTACAAAGTCAACATTAGCAAGTGAACTCATTGACATTGGATTTGGAACATTTCTTGATATATTCCCTACTACAGTATCCTATTATATCACATATACATTTGACATATATTTCTTTTCAGTGGAATTGTTTACTATATCCTTGATGCTTTTGGACATTTTGCTTACGAATATACACGAATACTGAAAATTATTCAATGTCATTTTATCATTTTATCAATTAAAATATTACACATTTTTATTGAATTCAAGTTTTCCACAGTGTTTACGTTAATGAATTGTTGGAAAAGTATACTACCTTCTAATTGTATTTATACCCTTATGAAATTTTAACAGTAATGCCAAGACGAAGACGTTCCTCACCGGCGAATACTACTACGACAACGAATACGAATACCACTACCACTACGACTGCTGTGAGTAATAATAATAATAATAGTAATAATAATGGAAGAGCAATAAATACATCTACAAGTCATCAACACTATCAATATCATAATCATCATTCAACACATAATAATAATAATAATTCCAGTAACGCTTTAAGATTTCGTGGAGGACGAAGTGTTGATACAATCTCACCTCTCAATCATCATCATAATCGATCTCAGGATACACAAGAAACTCAAGATTGTCATGTTTCATCGACAACTACTAATTTAATGCAAGAAATTCAAAGGTGAGTAGTTTATGTCATTAATTTAAAGACTTATATAAATGTTGAAACACATTTAGTTAGTTTACCTTTCATAATACCCAGAATCGAATTATGCTTAGTACCAATGTGTATCCAATTCAGGGTGACTCCTTAGCATACATAGCGCAACAGAGGCTATTGTCAACATTGCTAGTTGTTTATAAAAAAAATCTAAAAGTTAAACGAAAGAATTTTCAGCTGTCAACACTCACCACTCATTCTTTTAATCCAGAGTTAGCAATAGTGTCTAGCTGAAAAAAAAACGGCTTTCATCTAACCCACTGTGTTTGTTACCCCTTTCCCAATGACACAGAAGTAATCTGTGTTCATTAATAATAATTTGCTTTGGTTGGAGGATTTTGTCATGAACTGACATCAGTTAGAGAACCATTGGAAAACCTGCAGGAAGTACTACACAGCCAACTGTTCCGTTCTAGTTTGGAACTAGTCAGCAGTACGCACCCACCACAGGGAGTTCCAACCCAGGATCTTCTGGTTACAAGGCCAGATAGCTAGCTCGTAGACCACTAAGTCACTGGGACCCAGTCCAATAGCCAGCCCATGAATTCTAACTTCTGCCGGCCAATTCACAACATAGCACGACCAATTCGCAATGTCTGATAAACTAAAAATACTTCGGCCTGAAACGATTAATAGAAACTCTAGAGAAATAAATAATATTTATAGCCCCCCCCCCCCCCTATAATAATGAACATTTCACGAAATAATTCGTCACTATAAGTCATGTAGTTTTGCATTACCTATAATCGGAGTTCAGTTAAATATTCTACATATAATATAGTATGAAATCTTCAACATTCGGTACAATACTATTGCATTTAATTTACTCGACAACAGCAAAAACAAAAATGAAAATAAATATCACAGGATATTCGTAACCAGAAATGATAATAGCAGCCTTTTTGATATTACCACTGACAATAAAGTCAGAGATGTACAAAAAGTGTAAAATAATGGCGATAAGAATGCTAGTAGCTAAAATTATAAGTTAATTAAAACAATGTCACCACCATAGATTACAATTATGAGAGAATAAAAGAGCTAATTATTTTGCTAATAACATAGTAAGTAAGTTGTACATTTCACGATTAACACTACCTCTATCATCACATAGAACACCAGCCAAATAGGGTTTCGTTGGGTTTTTGTATTCAGCTGTAAGAACACACAATCTCTTATCATGACTTCTAGTTCTACCTAATGAGATGCAAGAGGAGAGTTGTGAATAAAGAAGGTGTAGACCATTTCTCACGTGAATTCAGGTGTCTATCGACTTCCCTAGTAATAAGCTGGCTGACTTAGTGGTACATTACTTACCCTACTGACACTCCTAACACTCTAACTACTTGTCACAATGAAAACTCTAATTCGACTAGTGATTTCACAAAGTAAACTTTTCAAGAACATCTACTACCCAGTACTTTGTAAGTCTAGCAAATAGTGCAAATTTAATGTGGCTATTTTAGCTACAAATTTTTCAGAATAGAAATATTTCATTTATGTACTCAAATTCAGCTTTTAAGATGTTTGATTCCAATTAATCGGTAGTAAGAATTGTGTATACCACGATGTAATAATGTATATAACTTGCTTAACAAAATAAGTATGAGGTCTATATCCACATCGGTATCTTATACACTATGTAGAAACACAGTTTTTTTTTATTCCTTTACGTACCCAGTGGAACATAGGGCACCTTCAAACTGGAGCCCTGAAGTTTCGGTAGCAGTGGTGTATATTTTTACGGGATGAGGGGGGTTGCTAGCCTCATGTCCAACCTTCCCTCTTTACTAGTTTTATTACTGGTTTAGTGAGGCAAATGAGTGCGTCGAGATCGAATCCTGAACCACATGCGTGGTTGGTGAGCATTCTACCACTGTGCCACCGAAGCACAGAAACAAAGTTAATGAACACATATACATCACAGTATGAATTCCAGAATTATTTTACATAATAGAGGGGATTTCACTTCATAATATGTCATCGCTCCTAGAATTTTACTCCTGGTAATTTTAGCGGTCGTATCTTATCTTAAGATTGTTCAAGTTAATTTGCTTCTTCGTTTCCTCTGGTGTTTTACTGTCAAGGCACATTGTGCTCTAACTTGTTCCTTAGTGGTTTTGTCCATTTCACTTAATGCTACTTTTAACTAAGAATGACGCCTTCAGGTTTAATCTGTTGATAGTGACAATGAAATTTAATCAAGTACTTTTATTTCACCAGGACTTAAGACTCTTGTTGAGAGATGAATTGTCCACTTTCTTTTATGGACGACATTTCAATGTTGAGGTCTTTTTCTTTGGCAGGATATTTTCAATTTGAGTATTCTTGGATTTGTTGAATGCAGCTGAACTTGACTTTTTTGTGCTGTTTCGGGTAACATCTCGTAGTCCTCAGAAATATTGTCTAGGTTACTTGTGGAAAGCCCTTTCTACTTTATCTAATAGTTTGACCATAATGAACATTGACACTTAACAGGCAAATTAATCTTGTACTTATTGAATCGCGACAGGAGATGATCAACTTTCAAGCTAACTAACTGAGAGAATATGCGAGCACAATTCATCAATTGGATTCTATACATTTTTATTACTGAAGTTGTTTGTGTGTCGGTGGCATAGCGGTTAGGACGCTCGCCAACCATGCACATGATCCAAGATTCGATCCCCGGCCACCAACGCAATCCTTTACCTCGCTAAGCTAGAAATAATTCTGTTAAAGAGGAAAGGTTGGGCAAGAGGCTAGCAACCCCATCCTATAAAAATTAAACATTGCTACAGTAACTTCAAGGTACTAGCTTGAAGCCCCCTATGTTCCACTGGGTAACGTGAAGGAAAAATAAAGGAAAAAAAACTGAAGTTGTCAGTAATATATTAAAATGATGATGGGAAACTTTAATATTTACCAATGATAAGCTATTATGAGTGAATTTAAAGCTTACAATGGCAGTAAGTGAGCATTAGCGTCCAACTTGTGTTTGAACACTGTCACTACTGAATTATTTCATTAGTAGTATTGTATTTGAGTGTTATTCAAATCTCAGTATCTTTCATTAGGTATTATGAAATCAAAATACAATCATTTTTTTTCAAAAGTAGTTCATAGTCTAAAGAATAATGACTCATAAAATGGGAGAATTGAAATTAGATTTGAAAGTATTTCCTAGTATTCGTATCCATTAGAAATTATAAAACTGATAGGCTTGGTACATTACAGCTGAACAGGGAGCCACGCGACGAAATACTAGACAGGAGTCTCACACTGTTATACAGTAATATTTACTGAACACTGTGAAACTTTAGATGACTAGAGGCAATTGGTCACAGGAAGCCTTGCTTGACCTAGGTTTCGTGCTTATTGACAGGCACTAGTCAGCAAGGCTGATCTGCAACTTTGAAGAAATTCATGTCCCTTCTGAATTTAGAAATCGTGTCATCCACTGTTTCAGTCAGAGACGTTATCATTGAACTATTTAGGCTCACGATTGACCTCCTGTAGGACTGAATTAGATACTTTGATCGGGAACTAAATAGCACGGTGGTCACCTTGTAAACTTGACTAGTAGAATTCAGTCTGTAGCAAATAAAAGACTAGACGCATGATTCTAGTTAGCGTCCAATCAAACTTTGAATCTTTACCAAATAAATTTTCTCCATAATTGAATCATACTCTACCATAGTGCCCAAGTACTGTTTTTATATATCAGTGATATTAGCCAGCAGACTTACTTATTATAGCTTCTTTTAACCCTTATGAATACTGCAGACTCTATCGTGTTTAAATTCTTTTCCAGTATTAAACGCTGTTGTATCCCAGTTTTCCTGGCTTTTTTCCAAGTATCTTTAGTTCTTAACGCTAGCCGGCTAGAAATATACACCGTAGAAGTTTCACCTTTTAATGTATCACTGTAAGCTTCTCTTCACAGACTGCATATGACATTCCATTTTTGATACATGTTTTAATATAAAGCATGTTGTATATACTCGGAGATAAATTCACAGATTACTTAAGTAGTAAAATGAAGTATACTTTTAACCTGCGCGTAAAATATCACAGTTATTTGCTCAACTTTTATGCATAAATATATAAGGAAACTATTGGGGGAAATAAACCAATAATTTTCAAGAGTTGATTTGTAATGATTAGATTTGTCTTTTTTAAGAGTTTGACCCCGGATTGATATCAGTTAGAGAACCATTGAAAACCAACGCTGGAGCACTGGACAGCTGTTTCATCCTAGTGCTTGGGAATCATGGGCAATACGCACCCACTGAAGTTTCGACCCAGGACTTTCTGGTTACAGGACGGAGTCTCCTGGAGTTCTAGTGAGAAGTCATGACCAGTGAGGTTCGTCCAGTCAAATGTGTGAGGATAGATGTACCAATGATGATATTGGTTGGTGGTCGCGCTAAATATAACGGATTGGTAAAAGTTAGAATTCACGTACTGGCCACTGGATTCGATCCCAGTGGCTGAATGGTATACAAACCAGCTTGCCTTGTAACCGGAAAGTCCTGGATTCGAATCCCAGTGGGTGAGTACTGCCGATGATTCCGAAACTAGGAAAAAGCAGCTGTCCAGTACTCCAGTGCTGGTTTTCAATGATTCTTTAACTGATATCAATCCGTGGTCATACTCTTTTAAAAATAAACAAATAATATTAAAAACTACTGAAAATGTTCCCAGTTAAACTGAAAAGTACTTAAGAATTCCAAAGCAGGATAAACTCAGCTCTCTAGTCGTCTATGGTCTTCAGTGATCCTAGGAATCTAATCTACACAAGTTGAAATTATCAAAATTCTTTATTAAGAAAATCGAAAGAAATGTGTTAGCTGATTCCTGTTCACTCTTCAATCAGTTAAATAGGATAAGTCATCTTTACTATGTAGTAAGGTGATTCTCACACTTACCGGATACTTTTGTACTCCTTACCATTACTCTATTGAGTAGTTTAATCGGAT